GGCGCTATTTCAAGCATACTTGGTGCAGGGCACGGCATGGCGGAGCGTGACGCTGCAGGATGTCCGTCAAAATCCGTCGCCTGCCCCCGCGCATGGGTACTGAATTCGGTTGCAAAATTTGTATACTGTGTGCAGACTGTAATCCACTTGAAGAAGGCAGCCAGGGGCACAGCATCTGGTTCCCAGACTCGGATGGCGGAGCAACAGCGAGCGGGAGACAACAAACGCGAGTTTCACAGAGTCCATATTCTCAGGTTCCGCCCCGATTCTGGCATGTTTGGGGGACTGCGAGCCGGGCTTCGCCCTGCCAGCTGCTGGGTTCGTCATTGTCGCTCGGAACCTTTGCAATCCCTCCGCAACAAGGGCTATCTCTGCGAACGCGCCGCTTTCTCGCGCGGGATCGAAGTGCTTGGCTTTTGGGCGGGCTTTCCTGTAGTCCTGGCGCATGTCAGCCCGAGGCTGGCTTTCAGAACGCTCCAAAGTGCCCGCAAAAAATGCATGCAAAATTCTTTTTTGGACTTGGCGCGGCCTGGAGGGTCGAAGTTTGCAAGCTTTGGTTCTCGTTTTCTTTGTTTCGCATCTGGCCCATCCACACACCAAGCGATGCCAATCAAGGCTTTGCTATCTTAATAAAACAAACTGAACGAAGTGGATGGTTCTCAAAGCTATCACACGAGCATGGCATGTTGTATGGCACGTGTTTAAGAACTCCACTCCACACACGTGCCACTAGAGTTGAACCTAAACCTGTGCCATGTGAAGAAAACAGCTTATGGTTAGAGCGTCAGCGTTTCTCCAAGTCTTGTCATGAGAGACAAGTCCAGGGAAACTACATACACGATGGGCATGTCTTCGGGCTGTTCGCTTATCAAGGGTTCAAGATTTGAAGTTTCCCAGAAGCCATCGCACATCAAGACAGGTTCCGCGGTGTGGGACAACGCCATATGGTGCTTTTTCTGTGGAAACGATGGAAACGTGGCAAAGACTGAATGCCGTGCAATGTTTGCGCAAGCGAGCGAAATGCAAGCTGCGATTCCTCCGGAAAACGAGCGGATGGAGAACGCAAAGAGTTGTGGTGCACATTTTGCACACTGAACAGAAGTGCTTTTTGCTCCGATATGCAAGTCCGCATGGACCAATGGAATAGATGAGGAAACCCGGCGAAGGCCGAAGATAACACGTTCACCTCTCCTAAATCCGGGTTCCAAACCCCACTACGTTGGAGCGTAGTCTCGGGCTGTTTCGTTTATGGGTAAGTCCCTTCTCCTTGCTCTGGCCGCAACCCGCTTAGAACAGAACGCAGCTCTGGGACTTGTGGGCGTTCTCCCCAACTTTTGTTTCTTCCGTTCACTTCTCAACTTCTTTTCGACTGCAAACTTGGACGTTTGCCTTTTGTGACGTCCGAAAAGGGTCGTAAGAGAGGCAGTGCGTCCTCCATCATCATCACTTCTGTTAACCACTTCAAGTCTTAAACTGGTCTCTAGCGTTTTTTTTTTTGTGTGCACAAAGCCTTCAAAAGCTTCCATGCAACGTCTCTTACCTTTTTCACAAGCATCTTTTCGCAACGAACACTCCTTTCTCACAAACCTTACTCCCTGGCTGTCGTCCAACACTCAAACGCTCAACTCTTTTTCTTTCGCGCAAACTCGGGCAAGTAAAAACTACCGAATTAAGCTGGTATGAAACTCTTCGGCACACGTTCACTGCACCGCGTAGCTCCACTGCGCTTGCATTCTTTACTTTGCCGACATTGCCGTTTCCTTTATTTTCCTTTAATTGGCTCTTCGGCCAACATACAACTTTTACAGCTTGGCTGGAAATAGATCGGCACACTGACCTCTTGGCTTGCGCTTTCATTGTGAAACATTTAAAAATGTCGCACTCATCGACTTCTAACTCTAGACTCCAGGTCACGCCTCAAACTTGTTCTCTCTCCTTTTTTTGTCTTGTGTTCTTTCCCTTCGAATCTTTGGTCTTCTTTTCTCTTTCTTTTCCATCTTCTTTTCTTCCTTCTTCGCCACATGCGGCTGCAGATCATACGTGCTGACGTCGAGACCGAGGGAGCCACACGTTTTGGCTTGACAGGCAAGAGCAAGGAAGACTGTCATTCAAATTCTGTTTTTCCAGCTCAGGTTGGCTGCTTGTTGACAATTGGAGCTTGACGCGAACCGTGAACCTCGGGTTGAGGTTTCCCGGACAAGGCTGCCTTAGCTTCCTTCTTGATCTTCTTGTTTGCTGAAGAAGACTTTTTTCCTTCGCTTTTGACCTTTTTAAGGATCACATGAGTTGGCTTGATGGGCCAGACGCGAAGAAAAGAAATTGAAATCAATATGGGACAAGAAAGAAATGGCCAGACGTACTCGATTTGGGATGGGTAAGAAGCAAGAAAATATGTTGAAATAGAGTTGAATCTGTCTTCTACTTTTCGGAAATCGAAGAGTCATAATGCAATGCTTTCGACATTGAGATCCAATGATCTTAGCTGTCCGAAATTGCATCTTTTGGCACTGTTGAAAATTGTTGGTGGCGAGAGCATGTAGTCGCTGAGCAACAAGTGTATGTGTCGGCTCGACAGGACACATTTAGTTCATATTGGTATTGTTTACGTAGTTTGCTGCCAGCAGTGACGATTGCAGACAGCTTCGTGGCTCATTTTTTCGTTCATAACATCACGATTTGTTGAAGTATTAGGTTCCTCCAAAATACTGGTTCTAGCATATCACACCCAATGAGTTCGTCAAATTCTGCTGGTGCCCCTGTAACATCGTCCAGTACTCGGCTTCTCGCAAAAACGGACTCGGAGCTGCTGCATTAACGACTGCAGGCCGTTGGGTTCCTTGGTTGCGGAAAATGAATTGGTTCATTTCCTGAAGCTTGCACGGCCTGGGGCTCGGATGTCCGTGTTGCGCGGAAAGAAATTTCAGACGTGTGTTTGGAGGCCGGAATGGTCGAAGCCACGACGCAGAGGACGTAGCGACATCGTCCGTGTGCTAGCGAAGCTGAAGGCTGGAGTACTCAGATCACAAGCGCACCAACGCGGCACTTGCGTCAGTCGCGACTCATGACAGGCTGTTGGTGTCAATGATATCGACACATTGATAAGGAAAGTGGAGAAGAACACCATTAACGAGGACAGCAGTGTTTTGTTTGTGTGTGCAGATGTTGGACTTAGCATGGAAACTTGTTGAGTGTGTTGACGTTAGATTGCCGCCTTGCATGCAGGAGTTGTACAATAAAGGCCTCATGCCCTTGAGTAGGGCAGCGCTGGATTCCATCCGGAAGCAGAAGACGTTCATGCAGGTCTGCAAAGCAAGAGCTGCAGTTAGGTCTGTTATGTGATTGCACAGTCACCAGGCGCTTGAGTCTGTTGACGTTCCGAACATCCGACAGGCCGATTCGTTCGATTCATTGCGAGCTTGTCTTCGGACTGTCGCGCTGCGAAGGTTGGTGTTTTCGACCCTGTGGCGCAAATGCTGCCGGCTTCTCAGAACGTGAAAGCACTGCCACAACAGAGCATCTACATACCGTTAGGTCTCGGAAGCCTTTGCCAAGTATACATCTCAGCGAAAGACGTCAGTCCATTTTTACTGCTGGGCATTTAGCATTTTGCGATGTTGGCTTTTGGCCTGTGTTGTAGCCTCCAGGTGCCTCTAGCACTTTGCGTGGACGATCTTCGCCTTCCAAGAGAAGTGAAGAAGGCACGTTCACGATTGGCGCTTTGCTGCTACGCGCTGCAGGGGGACTGATCAGCTGCCGTGTGGGGACCATTTTCGTTCTGCAAGCCTTCTTTCTCTTGCCAGGGAGGAAGGCTTTACGGCAAAGATGCACTGGCCTGTTTGTGTAGACGGCGAAGATGCGATTTTGCGTTTACATGCCGCTGCCCTCAGGCTTGCCGGCCAACACGATTGGAGGGATGACCGCCCCGCCTGAGCCTCGCTTCTCCTCTCAGCTGGCCCTGGCCTGAATTGACTTTGCTTGCACCGTGCTTAAGGCAAGCTGATGATGACATCTCGCCGTTCATCCCGGATCTGCTGCCACCGGGAAAGTGCAAGACCTAGGAAAGAAGCTCCGACTGCCAAGATCTGCCAAGAGTATTTCGTGTATGACAGCGGTGGCCTTTGTGAAGCTGGTGTAAGATTCATGTCTTGCCAGGGGTTCAATTTCAGTTTTTGCAAAGAGCGGCGTGGCACTGCGCATGTACGTGCATTCGATGCTCTTGCACCTTCGATTCCAGAGAACCATGGTGGGCATCGGTTCTTCTTTCAGTTGCTACAGTGAAGGATGTGATCCTGGAAGTGTGCTCATGCTTCGTCCGAATCTCAGGCCGTGTCTGTTCCCACGGCTTCGAGGATGTGCTGCTAATAGGCCACCGTTGTTGAATGCTACAGTGCATGTCTGCGCTATTCTGCCTATTCGCAGGCCTCGTAGGCTGTCGCCGATGCAAGCTCCTGCTTCTGCAGATGGTTCCTATCCTCAGCGTTTCACGTCCACATATAGCATTTCAAGCGATGTGGCATGCACGTTCCTGCTGCAGGTTTTGCTGGTCTGTCGCTGGCCGAAGGCATGCGACATTGTGTGTGAAGGACTAGACGTAATCGTGCAGTTTCCTTATACAGCAGGCCGATCGAGATCTTTCTCCATGACCGATGCTGCGTTGCATTCTCAGATCGCTGTGTTCATGGAGATGCACGTCTTCTCTTGCTGATCTTGGCTGGAAGGCTGGGACCTGCAGGTTTCAGTTCGCCGCAAAGCAAGGCTCAAAGATTCCAATTCTCGGGCTTGATGTGGCTGAAGAGTCGAAGCATTGCCCGTGTCCATTTGCTTGAGAACTCTTCTCGCAGGTGACTTGGTCTGTCACATTGCCAGCAGGGCAGCTGCAGCCTCAGGGAGCCTTTCTATTTGGATTTCAGTATACTCCTGCACTTGTCTGACTGTTTATGAACTGTTTATATCTGCACGTATGCATGCATGCATGTATGCATGAATATGCCTAATGTAGGGAGTTATATACAGCCCATGTGCAATTAAAGGTTATGGCCTGCACAGCTTTCGTTCTCATACATGTTTATCATATATATATATATACACACACCTGTGACATTGAAGCAATCGCAGTGATGTGTAGATCGTCCAAGCACTTAAAGTGCCCTCGAAGCCGTGTCCACGTTCTGCATCCTGAAGTCTTTCTATTCTGTGTCCCCACCCTTTGTTTCCTGTCTTAGTTTCACATTGCATTCTCCATTTCCACCAAGTGCAATCCCCAAGAGTCCGTAAGTGTCACATGTCGAGAGCAGCCATCATTGGATTGTTCTCATTCACTGAATCAGACTGCCCACATCCCCAGTTTATTTGTTTGCTCGACGTAGGTTCGGGTGCAACAAGTCCAGGCATGCAAGTATGTGTGCTTATGCAGCAGGTGGGTCGGCTCTACACACCTCTATCTCTGTAGTATCAATATTCTCAATTCATGTATGCAGTACGCATATCTGTATTTCGGAGCGTCTCGTATGCCTGCATGCATGTCATGCATGTCTGCATGTTTGTACGTACATATGCATACATGCGGCAATGTGTGCAGCCTATTTCGCAGCGCGGATTCTTTCGCGGCGGAGGAAGAAGAAGAAAGTATGCATGTATGCATGCATGTCTGTGTTTATGTATGCATGTGTGTTTTTTGTTACCTGTTCGTGTGTATGTAAGTAACCATGTATGCATCTGTATGTGTATACATACACACTGTACGTATGTATGCATGTACGTATGTACGTATGTACGTATGTACGTATGTACGTATGTACGTATGTACGTATGTATGTATGTATGTATGTATGTATGTAAGGCTCAACAGCAGGGCGCCCTTTGTGACAGGGCTTTTGGTGCTTTTGCGGGCTCGGGTTTCTCGTGGCTTCCCGTGCCTCCCCCCCCTTGCCTGCTTTTCAGGGTGTAAAGGGATCCCGTGCTGCCATGGCTAACAAGATGCCGAAGACGACTGGCAATACAGGCTGGCCCACCGCTGCGGGACTTGCCGGATTTGCATTCTTTGCAGGATTTGCACTCTTTGCTGCAGCTCTTCGTCCTAGCATCTTACGCCTGACAAACAGGATTGACTGCCAAGCAGCTGTCTGTCCCCTATGGCAGCCACAGCCCTCACCAGACTCCTCTACGGTCAGTGACGACTCAGGTTTGTATCTGGATATACGTGGAACGGCCAACCACATCCATCACTTGAGACACCCAGCAGGTGCAGAATGTAAATTGAGTGCATGTGCAACTGCGGTGCGTACACACAGTTCAGGACATCGACCGAACCCTGCCCCTGTACACGGAAGCCCCTCAGGCGCCGTCTCTACTGCACAGGTTGTGTCAGGCCCACTGCTCCTTGGAAGGATTGCACCGCAATCAGTGGCCAAAACCTTCTTCCAGATGCAGGCCAAACTTGAGCCTATGACACTTGAAGAACGTGGGCGAACAGGTCTTACGAGCAAGGCCACTGGCAATCCCTTTGCCTTTGCCGAGAGGCCGGCTACAGGTAAGGCTCCTCCTCACAGCCCCAACACCGACCACCCACCTCCTACAGGCCCTATGGCACGGTGGCTGCCCTGGAGACCATGGACTGATCTGTCGGCAGCGACCATCACTGCTCGCACCTCTATAAAAGGCCCTTCGCCTTGGTTTTCTCAGGGTTTGTGGCCTGCACTCAGTACTGGCTGCGTATCCTTGTCAGATGCAGCAGCCTTTTCTCTGTCCCTACACTGTACCGTAGTCTGTCGACAGCAGCGCCTTCATCACACAGCAGGTGGGGAATCGGACAGTCCCGCGTACCCTTCTTTTACCCATCTTTGGCACAGGCTCGAGGCCACCTCGCCTGGCGCCAATCCATCATCAGCAAAGCTCTCCCTCACCGCATGCCCTGACACTCAGGTCCTCAACCGGTTGGAGGTGTCCTCGCCGGGACCTTCCTCCCTGAGTCATGCAACGGTCTCATTGAGCTTCGACCTTCCACAGGTCGCGACTCCATCTGTCCCATGCCTGCGTCTCCATAGTCGCGGCCTCGGCTGTATCTTAGGCTGCGAAAGCATCTTCTGTGACGCCTGCTGGATTGATGTTCATGACACAGCCTGCTCTCCTTCTCCTACCACAGCTGTGTTCTCTCAAATTTGGTTCAGGAACTGCCCCCCGTCGTATCTCACAGGTCGACCATGGCCAAACGCTCCTCCGATGGCGAGCCGACCCCACGGCCCACTGCCAAAGCTCGACCTGCTTCTCGGCCGAGTGCACCATGCTCTGACACCGACGAGGACAACAGTCCCACTGGACACGCTCACACTCCTGTTCCTCCGGCTACAGGCTCTATCACGACCGCCAGCGAAGCAGCGACTGCCGCAATGCCGACACCGAAGGCCCCTAAGACCTCCTCGCTTGTCACCAATCCGGTGTTCAAGGCCAAGGCAGCCATCCCATCGCACAAGGTCTCTGGCCCTCCACCGCCGGACCCAGCGGGTTTTATGTCCAGCTCCTATGTTCCACCACCCGGCTCATGGCCTTATATGCTCATGGGGGGGGGAGGCGGGGGTGTGCACGTGTACTTTCCTCCGTACACGGCCACCCCCGCCTCCCCCCACATTGCTGGTTACGAATATACATTCACTCTGGCGGCAACAGCCATACGACCAAAGGCAGCGGTACCGAAGGCGACGCCACCTCGACCCCCCAGAAGGACCGACTGAGGCCAAGCGCATCGGACATCGGCAAGCACACTGGATCTTCTTTGATGCCCAGCAGGCTACTGTCGTGATTTGTGCTGCCAGCTCGCCTCGCACAAAACGTCGGCCCTCTGCACCCGGACAGCCAATGCTTCTCCGTGATCCGATTGCACAACCTTGCTCTCGTCCGCATGCCTCTGCCCGCCTAGGATCGGCCAGCGCAGTCTATTGGCATTCGTATGAGCCTCTTTCGGTGTCGGTCTCAGCTGCTGTTCTGTTTCGATGTGCCCGCTGTGCCCTGTTGCGACGGTGCGTCTTTTACACCTCCTGTCCATCAAGCCACATTTTAGGCTCAACCCAACAGGAAACCCAGCAGCAGAGCCTGTCTTCCTCGCCTACGCACTCTCGCAGGTCATGCATGGCAGCCAACTCGAGCTCCCTGGCCACCGGCGAGCACTCGGAGGATGAGATCCTCCGGTTCTATCGCAGCTTGGAGTGGACCACTCGCACACCGCCCCCTCTGACGGT